GAAATATCCCATCCGCATGCAGTGTGGCCTATGTTCAGGAGTTAATTCCTGTCATAAGTTACAGTCTGCTTTTGGTCCATATCTTCTTGTCTACCCACAGATACACCTTTTAAGCACCCATGAAGGCCATGGTGAGATTCGGTTGCATCTTGGTTTTAGACTGAGAACTAGGAAAAGACCTCAAGTCTCAAAGCATCGTGGGAGAAAAAGAGCAGATACATGGAAGAGCACTACATCACCATCACGAAGGAAAGCTAAAATCTATCCTCCAGCTTCCAAGAGGCCAACTACTCCAAGAGATTTCCAGGCCCGATCTTCCCAGGCTTCTGTACAAGTGCACATTAGAAAAAAGCAACGGGGCAGCCATGGGGTGGTCCGCCAGACAGACGCCAAAGACTCTGAGCACCATGAATTCCATCAGCTTCACTCTGTATCCGAGAGTGGCTTTGAAAGTAATCAGGAAGAAAAATGGTCGAAATCAAGCCTCAAAAAGACCTTTGACTTAAACTATCCAATGAAGAAAACCATCAAGGGACTTAAAACACAAAACACAAAGCTCTACAAAAATAGTGAAACCCCAGAAGAGAGTCCTTTTAGAATAATGTGTCCATCAAGAAGCAAGAGTATTGAAACCGTTCAAACAAGCACTGTTTCTTCGAAGACACAACCTGAGAAATCCTCTCAGCCCAAGTTCTACCAGCTGCTTTTCCAGGGCCTAAGGCAGGCATTCCAAATAGCACATAGAATTGTGGCTTATACTGGACAGAAGCCTGAGGACAGGACAAGGCCAGACAATTTGTGGTCAACCCAATACTTGCACTCCAAACAAAGAGCCAACAAGTATTGTTTAGCAGGAGATAGCAAAGGAGCCAGCACACCAGTTGCCCAGCAAAGGTCAGCAGGTGTGAACCCTAAGTAAGAGGACAGATTGCAGGGAACAGGTTGTTGGAATTCCTGGCCACTCCCCAGCTAAGTGACCGCACATGTGCAGATCAGTAGCCAAGTAAGGGGCCTTACACCCTACGAAATTCCTACGCAGTGTGATCATGAATGTGCAGGGGAATCCTTAAGAAGCCAGTACAGCCTCTTCCTCTTCTTCACCTTCTCTCCCATCTCTCTCGCTGCACATCTTCCACAGGCCTGGTCACATTGTTTCCTGTCTCCCCCTTTTAATAAAACTCTTATACTGGGTTTTATCATGCCTTGTGGCTGTTCTTGTACGGTAACAGCGTGCTGCCTCCACTGCATTAAAGCCAACGTTAGAGTGTGTGATGAAGCAAGCCCTCCTGGCGCTCTGTGCCCGGGAACTTGTGCCGAGGTTTTGCTCCATCTACGACTGCTCATTTTTTTCATTTGCCTGACCACAGGACTGCTCTGCACAACATTGCCTCTCCAGTCAGTGAGTTTTCCCTTCCACTCACTCCCTTGCCATTTTCCCATGACCACATCCTGAGATACATTTCTAGCTGCCGAACCCTGGGGGTCCTCGGGCTGTGTAAACTCCCAGCCCTTACCTCCATCTTGACGAAGGCTGAGGTAACTTGTGCTGATTCACAGATCCTTCTCCAACCTCAGGGATACCCAGGACTGGAGTTTGATCCTGTTTCTTTATTTTTTTTTTTCTCTCAGCTGCAGTCATGGGACATAAGGCTTCCTCCTCTGGGTCTCACTCCTCCTCTGAGAAAGGCCTTAAATGTACCAATAAATATGGCCACATAATGGCTGCTTGGACCCCGATATTTCACGTGAATTATCTACCTTCTGCCAGCAAATGGGCAAATGAAAAGAGTTACCTTATCCCCAAGCTTTCTACCTATGCTCTGAACCCTCCTCCCTCCCCATTTCTGATTCTTTCTGTGCCACATGCAACCACTTCTGCCTATCTGACTTCTGCTCTGCTCTCTGGTATTGGGCGGGCTCTCCAGTATCAGGGGGCCACTTCTGCCCAACTCTGGCTCTCACCTTAGCTCCTCCCACTCTCTTCCTCTCACTGGTTCTCAAGCTGCCCTGGAAAGAACAGACAAGTCTGGAAGCAGGCTAGGACACATGCAAATGAGTTCAGGATCACACTGGGAGTATAAAGCCCAGGTGGCTCTATAGCCAGACATCAGTTTACAACCTGCCTCCTGGCGGGTCTTCCTTTGGCTTCCCTCAAACCAGTAATCCATCAGAATCTAAAATACATAATTCAAGATACGGAATAAAACCTGTCTCATGTCTCCCAGAGCTTCCTGGCATCAGGGCTAACTTAAGCATCTGGAGAGGAGGCCCCTGACCCCAAAGGCAGAGTCTCAGCTGTGGCATTTTAAGGTACCATGGGAGAGATGAGAAAGCCCGTGAACAGAATGGCCAAACGCTGGCACATACTATCCGAGCAGCTGCATAGAGGCTTCCTGGTCCCTCTCTCTCTCTCTCAAGTTCCAGAGGACACCAGGATGCACAACCTTGCCACCAGTTCCAGAACAATGAGGTCCCAAGCCACAAGCTTTTCCTTCCTGGTTCCCTCTCCTAATTAACTACTCAGCTAATTGTTACAGGGCCACCATAGAGCTGGAGGAAGAGAACCACCAGATATATCCAGGCAGTAAGGAACAGTAACAGTCAAACTGGATGCTAAACTAATAAAGGAAATAGGTGCCTTAAAATCTGTCTCAGATAAGGTGTACCTCAGGTAAAAATTAAAAGCATGTTCCAAATATCTCTCTCCCTTTATCTCCCTCTCTCTCTCACTAACACCAACCAATATCCAATATAGCAGAGTACTAAACATTGTAACATCATGGTCACCAGCTTAAGGTTTTAAATTTCCCATGGATACTTCTTAATATGTTTAAAAATTCTTCTGAGCTCCAGAGAATCCACCTGGACAGGTCAGCGAGCTCTGGAGCCAGCTTGAATCCACCTGGACAGCACCTCACCAGACAATTCCAAAGCAGCAGAGGACAATCCATTACCCCCAGGACGGCTGGCTACTTCAGAAGCTCCCTTCCCTACCCCTCAAGAGTTAACCGATGCCCACCAAGTCAGGAAGCAGTTCTTGGGAGACACAGCACCCCTATTCCTGTTCACCCACCCTTTTTTATAACAAGCAAAGAGCCTGGAATGTTGGAATTCCTGGCTAAATGACCGCACATGCAGTTCAGTAGCCAAGTAAGGGGCCTTACGTCCTACGTAATCTGTGTGCTGTGTGATCACGTAATTTGTGCACAGTGTGATCATGTGATCTATGTGCATGCATGGCTTAGCTCCGTAAGCCCATGTGCATGTGCAGGGGACTCCTCACGACACCGGTCACAGACTCCTCCTCCTTCCCCTCTCTCTGCATGTGTCTCCCACAGGCCTGAGCACCCCTTCTGTCTTCTTCCCCTAATAAACTATTAATAATGGGTTCTGTCATACCTCCTGACTTTTCTCGCATGGTAACAGCGCTGCTAACATGGCACTGCCACCACTTTAAAAACCAACAATCCCTGCTCCTTGTAAGTCACCACTCACCCATGCTCTTGTTAGTGACCCCAATACAAAACTCATTGGTTCATCAAATTGGACATTGGTTTCAAAATGAGGGGACTATTGAGGGGCTGGACCCCCATAGTCCCCGATACCTGACGCCACGAACTGATTTAAATGTTTAGGTTCTGTAAGGAACACATGTAAGGCCTAGGGTGAACAACCCTGGTCAAGAGTGATAAGCAATAGAATGATATAAGTAAACCACAAATGGAGTAGTGATAAGCTATAAGCTATGTGTGGAAGTAGGGATAAGACTAGAAACCTAGCCAGGAAAGAATATAAAAGATGAGGCCTCAGATCCGACCAACAGAGCTCGTCAGGCCCTCGCGCGAGACGACTCTCCTTTGCCAGAGACGTGAGATCCTGCCCCCAGTGCAGACGTGGCTGACCTGAGGAAGGCTGACCCAAGATCCAGAGGAACAGACGTGGTGAGTCCGGACCTGTATACCCGGAGAGGTACTCCTGCTTCCATTTGGAAGACAGGATGAGTATTGCTTGTAATCTTACTGTGTGAATAAATGAGTGTTATACCAAGTCTGAATCAAGAGTGATTATTCCTCCCCTGTAACTGGGGTATGTGCTCGCTACAGGTTCGGGTGTGGGGGGGGGGTCTGATAAGTAAGGTTTGGAGCATATCCAGGGAGAGAGGTATCGCTTCACAGAGGGTTGCCCAGTTAGAGGCTCAACTCTTCGAGAGGTACATTTTTTGGAGACCTCTGGAGTATCAGCTACAGTCTTCACTGAAGGATGCTGCAGATCCCGGGGACACCAACCCCGCCCCCGTTTGGAACAGTGAGTAGCCATGTATCCCCCCCCCCAAATTGTCAGAATGAGTCTGAAGAGAAACAGCTTCTGGGGGTTGGGGATTTAGCTCAGTGGTAGAGCACTTGCCTAGCAAGCACAAGGCCCTGGGTTCGGTCCTCAGCTGTACCAAAGCTATAAGCTAATAGAGATAATTATTAGGATACAAATTAAAACTTGATTATCTCATGAATGATCAAATTCTGTAATGTATACAAAATCATATTTATATACATGCTAAGTATGCTAAGTTTCATATAACCAATTCATTACTTAGCCCCCTAACATTTAAAATGTTTAAGCTTTGGACAAAACTGCCATATCCCTTATTGCCAGGGTTTTGTCCAAACTATGCTTTGAGATCATTTAGATTATATTTCCATTTACCAGGTTTAAAGATAATTTGCCTTACTATCCAATTTTAAGTAAAAGATAGCTCACCTAACAGATTTCAAAATGACCTTTTACTGTTCCTTTATTAAAAGAAATTCATGCCAGGCAGTGTTGGACCACGCCTTAATCCCAGCACTGGAGAAGCAGAGCCAGGCAGATCTCTGAGTTTGAGGCAAGCCTGGGCTACAGAGTGAGGGCTACAGAGTGAGTTCCAGGAAAGGCGCAAAGCTACACAGAGAAACCCTGTCTCGAAAAAACCAAAAAAAAAAAAAAAAAAAGAAATTCACTTTACATTGGCTAGTCTCAATAATCAATCACCTATATCTCCTGATGAATTAAATACAAAAATGCTTTTAGATGTAAAGTTTTTATAAGGATATAAAGGATTAGATATAAAGAATGTTTAAGAACATTAAGAAATAATTTATATGTAGTGCAAGCCATTGGAATAGAAAAATATAAAAATATCTAGATATGTTATAAATGATACCTGAGTCTCAGTAAATGACCTATAGATACTGAGAATGTAAGCCTAAGTTAGATCTATGGATAACGTTTTTATTGAGGTCTGAAATAGATATATAGGCTTTAAGAATGAACTTATGTATACCTTAATATAAGAGTCTACAGACCTCCCCAGAAGGGACACTGGGGCTAATAATAGGTCGTAGCTCCCCTGCTGTACAAAATATTAAGGTCCTCCCTGGAGGGTTTGATTCCTGACCTTACTGAAGAAATTAAGATCATTGTACAACTCTCTACTAAAACAATTCAGATTCACGCAGGGCAGTGCCTGAGGGAGCTGATGGTGTGGATTCTAGTGATATGGCTTTCTGCGTTTAGGAAATTAAATATTCCAAACCAACTAAACACTTAAAATACAGAGAAAGAAAATAATTGGCTTGCTAGACATAAGCACGGATGTTTCTTATATTTCAAGAAAAGATTGGTCAAGTATTTAAGACGATTATTACTCTTTCATCTCTTATAGGCCTAAGTCAACCTAGCAGTATTGCTAGCAGCTCAAAAATATTAAGATGGTCAGATAGATAAAATTATGGCATATTCTGCCCATACGTCATCCTCCATACCTAACAACACTATGGGAAAGAGACATACTGTAACAAATGGATGTACCATTAATCTCTGCTGTGACTAATATCAGCTCAAATGCTACAGATGGGTTTTAAACTTAAAGGAACTTGAGTAAACAAGCTCAAGGCATAATTGAGCCCATTATTCCAGAACTTATAAATGACAGACATGGCCGAGGTTATCAGGATTTGTCCTAGGGGCCACTATCGCCCTCACTGCTGGGCACATGTCAGGAAACTCCATTGTTCCTTTCTGGATCAAACAATGGCCTTTGAATACTGAGAGACTTGTAACTGCGACCTGTCTGGTGGAGGAGAAACTTAAAAATAGGGCATATAAAGCCTCCCACCAGTCCTTCAGTCACCCCAATATTTGCTGTTTAAAGAAAATCAGGCTTATAAACCGTTACAGGATCTTAAGAAATTAAATAAAATTCATTAAAGCCAAGGGGATTCTCACAGCCTGGCTTGCCATCTCCCATTACCATCCCTAGGAATCAAAATAACAATGGTTATAAATTTACAAGATCGCTTCTTTGCCATACTTCCTCAACCTAAAGATTGTCAGCATTTCCCTTTTAGCTTGCCTACTCACCCTGCCATGATGGAGGCCAAAGCTGACATACAGAGCAGGAAATGCAAATTCTGTTTATCCAGGACTCATTTATTGAGCAGAGTTCCTCATTTTATATATACAGATTAACTATCAGAACCAACTGTCAATTATAGCTTCCTCACAGTCCCCCAAACTAATAATAATATATATGTAGTATATATGTGTATATACATATATATTACAATACATTTATTGCACAGATGATATTATATTTATATCAAACTATGAAACTTATGAGTCTATAGATTGGCAGCTGGCTCTACAGGATATACTGGCACCTTTTCATATGTCTGTCCAACAATTATAAATTCTCTCCCTATGGAAGCTCACCCATGAGGCTTATGTCCTTATGATTTATGGTTATGAAATAAGAAGTAATACATCATTTATTTCACTGCTTTTCAATTTTAGGAATTCCTAGAGCTCATTTATAGACAACAGCCTTACATATACTTCAAGAGCTCTTAGAATCGGTGCTTAATTTTTCACATCTCCCACTACAGGCATTCCTTATTACCCCCAGGCCAAGACATAAAGTTACACTTAAGCCTCTACGCTCTTCTCACTGGTATCTGAAAAGGTCCTGATGTTTTCATACTGTCAGGAAGAGGATATGCTTACATGTCTTCACAGGATATTGACCCGTCTTCATGAATTCTGGATCACCTGTTCATACTATACACTAGGCCGCTGCAGGACAAAGGCACTCTAAAGCTGCCAGTCTGAATACAGGCTGTTATTTACCTCTAGATTCTTAAATATTGAGCTTTGAATATGAATAAATAGATACAATTCCAGATCCTTTTGATGAACTGTTCATCAATGGTATAAAACTTAGAGAAATATGATTAGAAATAATTCTGTTCTAAATGTATTTTATTAATTTTTGTCAAAAGATAAATGAGACTTAAGATTAATTATCAGCTGGTTGTAGATTCTTCCCGGACCCTGGGAGGGTACTATCGAGGGGCTGGACCACCATAGTCCCGGATACTTTGGTCTGTTGTGGGCTCTCTTACTGAGGTGAGTAGATGAGTGAGTGTGTTGTGTCTCTTGTGTTTCCCCAGGAAATGTCTGTCACATAATGCCATTGCTATTGTTCCATGTAGGGTCAGAGGCATGGACTCTGAGCAGAACCAATGTAGAGCCTATTCCCAGTCATGAACTGACTTTAGGCAAGCATTGGCAAATTGGTCAAGACTGGTTAGGACATAAAGCTCTTAGGAGTTCCCCTGGTTTGGCTTGAGTTGGGCCTTCTTGAGTTGACTAGAGACAGGCTTTGTACTGAGGTGGCATGTACCAGGAATCTTATGTATAGTGCTGTGAGTTATTAAAGGGATTGGTGAAAATATATGTACATATCAATTGCTAGAATCCTGTGATAAGTAGCTGACGGTCTCTCAAACTTACAAACACCTTTTTTTTTTAAATTTCTAATTAATTTAGCCTTTTTGAACTGAGAGGTAAGCATGTAAGCTTAGTGGGTGAGCACTTGCCTACATGTTGAAGTCCTGGATTTGTTCCCTTGCTCTGGGATGGTCTGTATGTCAAATGCTCTGATTGGTCAATAAATAAAACATTGATTGGCCAGTGGCCAGGCAGGAAGTATAGGCGGGACTAACAGGGAGGAGAACTGAGAGAACAGGAAGGTGGGAGGAGACACTGCCAGCTGCCACCATGACAAGCAGCATGTGAAGATGCCGGTAAGCCACGAGCCACGTGGCAAGGTATAGATTTATAGAAATGGATTAATTTAAGATGTAAGAACAGTTAGCAGAAGCCTGCCACGGCCATACAGTTTGTAAGCAATATAAGTCTCTGTGTTTACTTGGTTGGGTCTGAGCGGCTGTGGGACTGGCGGGTGAGAGAGATTTGTCCTGACTGTGGGCCGGGCAGGAAAAGTCTAGCTACATTCCCTAGTATAAATAAGTAAAGATAAATTTAAAATTCCAGGAAAGGTATCAATCTATTACTCAAAAAATCCACATGTAGGTTGGGTGTGGTGATGCATCCCTTTAACTCCAACACTCAGGAGGCAGAGAGAGGCAGGTGATCTCTGTGAGTTCCAGGCCAGTCTTAGTCACCTAACCAAGTTCCATGACAGCCAGGGCTACAAAGAGAGATACCCTGTTTCAAAAAGCCACAAAGGAATTCACATTTATCACACACACACACTTTTTATTGTTGGTTCTTTTTTGAAGCAGGGTTTCATACAGTCACAGCTGACCTGGACCTTGCTCCACAGCAGACCTCATGGGTTTAATGCCTCAGTGTTAGGAAGACAAGGTGACAAAGTCACCATTTTTGAGACAGGAAATATTGCCAATAATAGAAAGAGGTTGTATGAACTGCTGGAACCCATCTAGTGATCTCTTACATGCTAGACAATAGGTCATCTCTAGAGTTGTGCCTTTAGGTGAAGGCCTGTAACCCCAGGTAACTGAGAGGCTAAGCAATGAGGATGGCAAGTTCAAAGGCTGCCAAAGCTACAGAAGGAATTCAAGAATAATTGGATACTGGCAAAAAACCGACATACAGACCAATGGAATCAAATTGGAGACCCTGACATTAATCCACGCACATATGAACACCTGATTTTTGACAAGGAAGCCAAAACTATACAATGGAAAAAAGAAAGTATCTTCAACAAACGGTGCTGGCATAACTGGATGTCAACATGTAAAAGATTACAAAGAGATCCATATCTGTCACCATGCACAAAACTCAAGTCCAAGTGGATCAAAGACTTCAACATACATCCAGTTACACTGAACTTGATAGAAGAGAAAGTAGGAAATACTCTTGAATGCATTGGCACAGGAGGCTACTTCCTAAATATAACACCAGTAGCACAGACACTGAGAACAACAATTAATAAATGAGACCTTTTGAAACTGAGAAGCTTTTGTAGGGCAAAAGACACTGTCAATAAGACAAAAAGACAGTCTACAGAATGGGAAAAGACCTTCACCAACACCACATCTGACAGAGGGCTGATCTCCAAAGTATATAAAGAACTCAAGAAACTAGACATCAAAATACTGAAAATCCAATTAAAAAATGGGCTACAGAGCTAAACAGAATTCTCAAAAGAAGAATCTCAAATGGCTGAAAGACATTTAAAGAAATGCTCAACATCCTTAGTCATCAGAGAAATGCAAATCAAAACGACTCTGAGATACCACCTTACTCCTGTCAGAATGGCTATGATCAAAAACACGAATGACATTCTATGTTGGAGAGGATGCAGAGCAAGGGGAACGCTCCTCCACTGTTGGTGGGAGTGCAAACTTGTACAACCACTGTGGAAATCAGTATGGCGGTTTCTCAGAAAACTGGGAATCGATCTACCTCAAGACCCAGCTATAGCACTCTTGGGCACATACCCAAGGAATGCTGATTCATACCACAAAGATACATGCTCAACTATGTTCACAAAAGCATTATTCGTAATAGCCAGATCCTGGAAACCACCTAGACGCCTGTCAACTGAAGAATGGATTAAGAAAATGTGGTACATATACACAATGGAGTTCTACTCAGCAGAGAAAAACAATGACAGCATGAAATTAAATTTGCAGGCAAATGGATGGAACTAGAAAATATCATCCTGAGTGAGGTAACCCAGACCCAGAAGGACAAGCATGGTATGGACTCACTCATAAGTGGATTCTAGATAGAAAGCAAAGAACAATCAGACTGCAACCCACAGAACCAGGGAAGCTACATAGCAGGGGGGACCCTAGGATGACAGTGGTGTAAGGAACACATGTAAGGCCTAGGGTGAACAACCCTGGTCAGGAATGATAAGCAATAGAATGATGTAAGTAAACCACAAATGGAGTAGTGATAAGCTATAAGCTATGTGTGGAAGTAGGGATAAGACTAGAAACCTAGCCAGGAAAGAATATAAAAGATGAAGCCTCAGACCCGACCAACAGAGCTCGTCAGGCCCTCGCGCGAGACGACTCTCCTCTGCCAGAGACGTGAGATCCTGTCCCCAGTGCAGACGTGGCTGACCTGAGGAAGGCTGACCCAAGATCCAGAGGAACAGACGTGGCGAGTCCGGACCTGTATACCCGGAGAGGTACTCCTGCTTCCATTTGGAAGACAGGATGAATATTGCTTGTAATCTTACTGTGTGAATAAATGAGTGTTATACCAAGTCTGAATCAAGAGTGATTATTCCTCCCCCGTAACTGGGGTATGTGCTCGCTACAGTTGGCGTAGTCGGCAGGATTTTGGGCTTAAAGCCTCCTTGACCACTGAGCACTGAGGAATGTAAAATAAGTAATACAAAAGAATTGGCTATTACTCTGGTGGAGTAACAAATTACAGGAAACCAAATAAACTAGCAAGTGACCTCAAAGCCGCTCTGAGAAATCAACTCCTCGAAGTCAACTCTGAGGACCTAAAGAAAATCTGAAGGTCCAAGGAGGAAGAACTGGTAGGAGAGAGAGTATCAGAAGCAGACGGGAAACACCACCCTCCCTAAGGGTGCGGAGTACCGAAAGAATACCGGACACCTTGATGCCAACCCAGACCCCTGGGGAAGAGCGGAAGGTGCTGGGAAAGAGCTAAATGAGGCGCTGGCTGGCCAAAAGGATAGAAAGGATTGCGGATTTGAAATTTGAAAAATTGATAACTGATTCTTTGAATCAGTCTAAACGAATTAGTGACTGGGAGTGGTACCGTAGGAAAAAATTAATTAAATTTTTGTACGGCTTGGTATACCACTTACAATGAATAGATTAATTAAGAAATTTAAGAAGACTAACATCTCCCCAGTGACAGGTAGAGAATACCAAGATGAGGTTGAAGAACAGTGGAGAAAAGTAGCCTCCAAGGTTAAAAATAAGGCCGGCATGAAATCAGTAAATGTAACTAACACATTAACAAATCCGGATGTGGTAGAACAAGAATTAGAGGGATGTAGCAAGGCACAAACTACCGCACTGCTTATGAAAACGGTGCAGGATATTGATAAGGACAGATTAATGGGCAAAAGGCTAGCCTTAAACATAGTGAGGAAGGAACAGGAGCGTAGCGCTACTCCTGGATGGAATGGATGTAACACCGTACCATCATTTCCTGTCTCTACCCAAAGTAAGAGAACTCCTATTAGAAGTACTATATCAGCTCTGAACCCCTTCAGCACTGGAGGAGGTAGTAATCGTCCCAAATTTGAAATGGGAACGAAGTTTGAGGAAATCAGGCCATATACTCCTCAGGAGATCTCAGAATTACGGAAAGATTATGCCCAAAATGGACAGAAAGACGCAGAATATATGTGCCGACTGTGGGAAAAGGGAGCTGACACAGTCATGTCAACTGATCTAGAAATGAGAAAGATCAGAAACATAGTAGAGAACCCCTCAGTATCAGAAGCTCTAGAGCATGTAATTGAGACATCAAAAGGCGATACACATCCACTATTAGATTGGATTACTGCAGCTTGGAGATTTGCATTTCCAACATTAGACCTCACTCAATTTGAATCAGCAGCACAGTGGACAACATATGCACAAGCCATAAAACAATGTAGAAAATTAGGCATATTGTATTTCATATACAACCAGGTACTCACACCTCAAGCCGCACCTTTTACACCACAATTTAAAAAGATCATTATTAAAGGAGCTCCAGCACACCTTAAAATGAGCCTAGCTGGACCCCTGCAGGCATGTCAAACCATCTCAGATGCCATGGAATTCTTTAAATCTTACAGGGAAATGGACATAGACAAGGTAGTATCATTCAATGTTAATAAGAAACAGGACAAGAAGAAATTTACACCGCGGTTTTCGAACATAAGACCATTTGGGAAAGCTAATCAAATGCCCATAAGACAGAATGCAAATAAACCATGGAACCCAATTAGAAGGTTGACAGGAAGGAAAAATATCCCATGGAGAGAGACACAGAGCAACCCATGGAGACAGACATGCCAACCAAAACCTTTTTTAGGCAATCGAAATTTCAAACCAAATTTCAGACCAAAATTTTTCAATCAGAACAATCACAGGCCCCCAAGAGCAGGACCCCCCAGACGCTACATACCAAGACGGACTTGATCAACCCGGCTGGTAGACCATTCGTAGCTATACCTATAATAACTAACAAAGGGCCGAGAATAGTAAAATGGCTAATAGATACAGGTTCTGAAATTAGTATAATAACGGAATTTACAGAACATTTTAAAACTGATAAAAGGATTATAATACAGGGAGTAGCAGCAGAAACAGAAGTACCAGTAATAAAATTAAGACTCAAATTATATAATAAGGAATATGAGATTGAAGCAGCTAGCTTCAATGCACCCTGTAATATCCTAGGCATTAAAGAAATAAGAAAATTATTCCCAGACTTTCTAAATAATAAGAGAATAGCTAAGGTCAGATGTAATCTAGCAGAAGTAAAAATACAACCTATTAAATTACCACACACACCCCCGACCTTCACGGCACAATACCCTATCAAAGGAGGTATTAAGGAAATAACAGAGACTATACAAACTTTGCTAAAAGAAGGCATTATAGAGAAATCTCAATCATTCAATTATAACAGCCCAGTATGGCCGGTGCTGAAACCTAATGGCAAATGGAGATTTACAGTTGACTTCAGGAGAATAAATGAAAAAACACCTAAACTTCCAGGACAACTTCCTGATGTGGAAGACATCTTTCTTAGAATTAAAAATTCAGCTCCAAAGGCAATGGCAACTATAGACTTAAGTGATATGTTCTTTGGAATCCCATTACACCCAACATCTAGGGAACTTACTACATTTACATGGCAAGGACAGCAATATCAATTCTTGAGACTCCCTCAAGGGTATTTGAACAGACCTATTATTGCACACAACACCTTAACAACTACATTAAAGAGCTTCGAGCCAGAATCAGACTGTAACATATACACCTATGTAGATGATATAATGATAGTAGGACAAGCCATTGACAAAGTACAAAGTACATTAGAGAAACTAATTCAACATTTAAGAAATGAAGGATGGACTATAAACCTAGAAAAAGTAAATAAAGCAGGAACAGAAGTAAAATTCTTAGGGGTACATTGGACTACAGAAGGACCAACAATACCCGAAACAATAATAGATAAATTAAAACAAATTAAGCGACCCCAGAATAAAACTGAGGTACAACATCTAATTGGCCTATTTGCATATTGGAGGCAACATATTCCATACTTACAGATCATATTACAGCCTTTATATAAAATAACAAAGAAAGCACAGGATTTTGAATGGGACCAAAACTGCGAAAATGCCGTTAAATTGGTACTGAAATATATAAACCAGTATAGCCACCTATATTATATACAGCCCGGTGACCACGTATTTGTGGACATCTTCTATATGCAGGGTTATGGTAATTGGAATATATTTTCAAAAAATAAAGACAGGGAAACGCCAATAGGCTTCTACTGCAAGAAATTCCCATGGTCAGAGAACAAATATTCGCTGTTCGAAAGAACCATATGGACAGCCTACGAGGCATTCAGGACAATCCACTCACTGCTCAAAGAGAACCATGTGACTCTCCGATCACATATACCCATTTTGGACTGGGTAAAGGCACCAGGAGAGGCGTGGGCTGGACTACCCATGGAAGGAAAGGTACTTCAATGGAAATGGTACCTTCAGGAGTTCCTTCGATCAACACCTCTGTCAGCAAAGGGGTCGGTACCAGCGGTATCGGAGTCGATACTTCAGTCCGACAGGCCCATGACTCCAGAGGGATACATTTTCCCAACCTCAACCCCTCCCCAGAAACAGGTACCAATGGGCCATTGGGGGACTAGAGAGTACGATCCCTCTCTGGTTAATGCCTGGTTCACCGATGGATCAGCAACCACGGTGAACAACAAAGTGAGATGGAGAGCAGCCGCTTATAGACCTGGGGATGGAATGGTCATTACAGACCAGGGCACTGATAAATCAGCCCAACATGCAGAAGTTATAGCCGCACTATTGGCGATAAGACAAACTATAAAGGACAATTATAAACAAATTTATTTATACACCGATTCATGGTGTGTGGCAAATGGCATAGCAGTATGGTCAGGTAAATGGAGAAATAATGGATGGAAAATTAATGGTAAAGACATATGGTCAAAGGCAGCATGGCAGGAATTGGATGCAGCAAGCAGACTAATCAAAATCATAGTATACCATGTAGATGCACATACCAAGAAACAGGATGAGACAAGTAAAAACAATGAAGTAGTAGACAAACTAGCTTCAGCGTTAAGTATAAAGTTAAAAGGTACATGGAAGGCAAACATTAATCCAGAAACAGGAAAAGGTAAAATACAGAGAGAATGGATACAGGTAAGACCATCAACTAAGGACATACCTATAAGTACAGAAGAGATACTGAAAATCCATGAGCAGTTAGGACATATAGGTACACATGCACTAAAAAGTTGGTTCGATAAAAGAAATCTTAAGATAACATGGCAGACAATAAAGAAAGCAATCAATAGTTGCAACAATTGCCCAAAGGCTATTACAAGATTAACACACAATTACCAAGGGATAATAGGACACCGAATGGATTTTAATAGAATCCTACAAATAGACTTCATAGGACCGTTAAACAGCTTCAAGGGAAAATATTGCTGCACCCTAGTAGACATAACAACAGGTCTCGGGATGGCCCGAGAAAGCACACACCCAGACCAAAACACAACAATACTTACAGTCTGGGGATGGTGTGCAGCATATGGAATACCTGATATAATACAATCAGACCAAGGAACTCATTTCACAGGAGCCAAAACACAAAGAATGGCTAGAAACTTAAACATTCAATGGGACTTCCATAGAGCCTATACACCGACAGCAGCTGGAGCAATAGAAAGATGGAACGGAATGATTAAAAAACAGCTAGAGATGCATAAGGGAATACCACTGTCATTAGCAATAAAAATAGCAACTTATGAATTGAATACCAGACCCAGAATAAATAGGAAGTCACCAATAGAAGAAGCTATACAAAAACAACACACAATAGATTATCCTACAGTTATAGATAGAGAAGTAATAAGGAATCCTAATTGCCTTTACAGGAACCGGAAGAATAACAAATTATCCCCAGCAGAAATAATAGCACCAGGAACAGGAAACAACGTGTGGATAACTCAAGGTAAAAAGGACTTGAAATTAGTCAGGCTGGAGTATATAGCATAAATGTGTGTCAGGGAGGTGATATTCATAAGGGCAGCCCTCCTGACGATTTGGCTAATAGCTATTGCAGTATACATAGTACTGCCAATCTTAGAATTTGTTTTTCCCTTCTGTAACATCATTTACCAAAGAAGCTACTCATACAACATAGTCAACAATACCAATCCTGGATACGCTTCTGCAGCATCCAGAACAGCCAACTTCACGGTATGCTGGATACACTATCTGCACAGGAGGCAATAAGAATAGCAAAGGTGATGTGCACATTGAAGGCAAGAAAGCTATATGCTATTGGAGCCTTTGTGTGCTCATTTTTCTGTCTCAGGTTAGCAGATGTGATGGCAATAACAGCATACCAATGCCAGCCCTATTGGACAGTACACCCACAACAAACAGACCCACCACCACACCACATGTTATACAAGTGGGCACTAGGAAACAGAATACCGTTGCTACACCAACAATTTATGATCTAGAAGGCAAATTACCGCTATATTGGTCAGCAGAGAGAAGATTTACACATTACATAGGAAAAACACACAGTTTTTGGCAAAAATATGCAGCATGTTTAACATATGCCTGGTATAAGGGTTGCGATCAATATAGAATGGCACTTAGCATATACCATCCAAACAAAGAATATATGTTAGAATCAGGGGATGATGTTAACACCAACATACATGAGCAGAACCCGTTAAAATGCCATTACAATGAATTATGGACCAACATTACCAATCACGCAGCCATATACAACATGTATTGGACAAAGAATTCACATATCAGAACAAACACATTAAGGGTAAACTCACACTATAGGACCAATACAATGGGAATAGAGACAGAACCAGAATTTGACTGCGAACTAGGCATGAATAGCTCCTTTGTGAGACAATATTTCGCACCAGTAATAGCACAACAAATGGAGGAGATAGGTATGCTATATAATAAGACATCAGAAAGGTGGGAAGAACAAGTGTATAATTACAATGATGACTATTATGATGGTGATTACCCTGCTAGTACAACACCTAAAGTAACTACAACACCTATAAACCCATGCAACCCTATGAATTGGACAGTATGCAATGATGGTGAAATGGTAAAACCATGGCCAGTAGTATCTGGAATAATACCATTACCCAAACCCTGGGGAAATAGATGTCCCAATAACTTATGGAGATACATTCAAAAACATAAGCTAGATGTACCAGGACAAAATAATACTAACTGGTTATGCGTAGCAGACTATCCCAATTTACCATTCTATGGTAACTTCTCTGTATTATATAGCACAGATAACCCATCAGTAAAAGGAAAGGAATGGAAATGGGATGACTGGACAAAAATATTGCAATTAGGAGTAGAACATTGGAGATTCCCAATCATACTTACAGATATTATACAACAACCTTGGGCTTCAATGAGACACACAATGAAACCTAAATATGATTGCAACACAGACACCATAACACACATTTGCATACTTACAGTAAATTCCACATTACACAGGGAAAAACACTCTTTTGCATATGCATGTATAAATATGTCCGAAGCAAATACAAACATTAGACAAAACAACAATACAAAGACTATAGTGGACCTACATGTAGGACCTTTATTTACTGGAAGAACATCAAGGTCAGTACAAGATTTAATAGCAATCACAGATATAATAGGCCAGAAAATACCATGGCTAGGAATTTTTGTGGACAGTACTGCAAATATAACAGCTACTAAGCAGGTCCAGGCAATAATGAGATTTAATGACGACCAACAGTCATATCCAACATATTTTACGCAAGCAAGTAATTTGGGATTTTTTAACCTAACCTTAGCAAAATCACTAACACAAGGTACCACAAGCTTGAGAAACAAATTATCATGCTTTACCGAAACAAATAATACAGCGGTACGGACTAACTGTACCACAAATAAAGCAACCACAATAATAAATTTGAATATATATGGTAAAATTACCATAATAAACAAACATATGTCACTAGTAAAATTTGACAGCACACCAATATTAACCATAGGCATGATACATGAACCAAAACATAAAATACATAACATGCTAGGTGGCAGTAAGATATCAATTTGCTGGTTTCACGAATCTAAAGACTTACTGGACATGCCCATACCCTGGGAAGTCAGTGCCAATGTTACTACAGATGAAGTAGCAGCAAAAAATATTTTCATATTTAATAGGGCAATTGAACAAAAGGCATACAATTTCACAGGTATAAGGGAGGTAGAATATATCCCACCATATGTACAAATGACAAAGGCTATGAGAATCAATAAGGTTATGGATCCAGATGACCTAATGGTACATTATAAAAATGGGATAACTAGATCAGGGAGTTTTTGGCAAACTTTGGATTATGAAATGGATAGAGTAATTGAATTACAGCACCATAATCTCCCATATTATTTCTACATGTTAATGCCAAATCCACAATATAAAGAATGGAATAAGGCTGAATGGGTAGCACACAAACCTAGAGGATCAATGAAATCACATACACAATATTGGGATAAAATATATTATCTCCCGATATCAAGAAATAAGGATTTTCTCAGTGAACATTCCAACACACCATTAATTATATTTAGAGGAAATATGACCAGACCAAATAAAGAAAATATTGGATTATATACAGCTCATTTTCCAAAAGGATACCTAATACCACCAGAAGGAACCCCAACAGTAGTCAAGGCACCAGCTATTATACCAGACCTAAAAAGTCCAGCTAAATTAGTTTTATACCCTAGGATTAGAAAAATTGAAATTACAATAGATTTGACAGCACTGAAACCACCTATAGAATATTGTAGTGATGTGAATTTTAGATTTGATTTAGACTACTCATCACCAACAAGAGTAGGAAGAAAACCACTACAAGCAATGGCAGTAGCAGCCTTTATGGCAGGAGCAATTTTAGGTGGAATAATGGGTGGAGGAGTATCAGCAGCAATGATAGAACCAATAAAGGCAGAAATATACCACATACAAGAAGTAAATAAGAAAACAGCAGAAGCTTTAGCAGCTATATCAAATTCTATAGATGGCATGCATACACTAATACAAACTATGCAAGGCGAGATAAAAATGTCACAAGACCTTTATAAGGAACAATTCTCCTATCAAGCAAAACTTATTAATACTAACCATAACATGATGATGTGTCAAATGTATCGAACTCAAGTCAGTAATATGAATAATGAATTAAATAGTTTATTTAGCACAGGGTTAGGGAGAAGAACAAGAGAATATCAAAGTATACTAAACCCTGAATATGAAAGCTCATGCACAGATGGATTATGCAATATACATTTAGTACAGATCTTCTTACAAAATTCATTTTCAGCATATCATTCCAAGGCGATACCACAGCTATATACTGAAAGAACAGGAGTATCAGAATGGAACCACCAATACTTAGTACCCATAGACCATTACTTATGGACCAATATGAATGACACACCAGTGTACATACCATTAGAAGACTCCATATCATTAGGAGCAAATACATACGTTTATCCACATTTACCAGAAAGCACACTTGAAACTAGTCAATTGGCAGTAACTACTATCACACAGTCACTAGAAGATACGGGAGATTACACTTTCTTGATATGTGCTAAATATTTACCTACTTTAGTTAGCTGCATAAATCTTAATGAAACCACAATGAATGATGATATCACAACATTCAATATTACAGAATCAGGATGCTATATGGTACACAACTGTAGCATCCTACAAATGAATTTCACTAATTATGATGGTAAAAACATAACCAAACAAAGAGTGACCACATTAACACTAGAAGAAAAACATTATTTTGATGGCTCACACTTATTTAATGACCCAACAGAATTAGAACATCACCAAACATTTGTAAAACAAGCAATGGAGTTACAGCACATTGCAGATTTCAATCAGAAACAACTGGAATCCATACATAACAAAATTAAAGAACAAGATGCAGCCATACATACATCACAAGCACAAACGCACAATCTAGTGAATCTGTTAAGAACAAATACATACATACATAAAGACTGGGCAAAACAGATGCAGAAATGCAGCTTTTGGGATTATTTAGGCAGACTAGTCAGATTAGATCTAATATGTACACCAATTTACACATGGTGGCACTGGATAAAGTTAGCAACCTTTTGGTTTTTAGTAATTTTAGGGATAAGTATTGCTTTATGTTTGTCTAAAAAAATCAAATGCTTGATAATAACTCCATGCTTAAGATGTCTTACAGGAATCAAGTAACAGGAAACCCACTTTGGAATCCGTCAGGCAGACGCTTCGATTTACTTAGTAAAAATGGAATGAGTAATTTACTATATACCACATACCAAAAATATATGGAACCATTGTCTGATATTTTCTATAGAATAGGTATATTATCTATGGCAGGAACGATACAGGGATGCAAATACTGCACCCATAAATATGCAATGTTCTACCTATCAGAACCAGGTGAGGTAGACAACCTCCCAATGCTCTTGATGCACTTAACATTCCACTTGACAATAGAAGGAGGTATACATGATATGAGATTAATTGGAGATGGATACATGAGATATTATGGAACCATACAATCTAGTGTATATAAAGTGAATGGAATGTACAAAATACACAGAAATAACATGGATGCAGCCCTACATATAAGCGCAGCTTTAGCTGCAGCATATGTGGGCCGCGGTAATCACAGAATATATGAAACATATAGAACATGGCTAAAACATAATCCTGATGAAGCAATAATAAGCATTGATAAAGATTTCCTGAATGACCCACAGTGGGAAACAGGAGAACCAATGTATTTACAAAGCATATGTACTAGAATATTGTGTAGAGATTTTGTTATAGATGTGTTAAAAGAATTTGCAGCTTATAGCACTTGGTTGAAGTTATATAATGCATATATAGAGAAAAAACATAAAAATAAACCACCCAGAATGAGAAGGATAAGAATGCTAGGATTAACAAATTAGGATAACATATTGTAAATCTCCAGGCTGCGACCTCATGTGATGCCTTTTATGTTGAAGACATTTCAGGCATCAGGGGATGGAATGTAAGGAACACATGTAAGGCTTAGGGTGAACAACCCTGGTCAGGAATGATAAGCAATAGAATGATGTAAGTAAACCACAAATGGAGTAGTGATAAGCTATAAGCTATGTGTGGAAGTAGGGATAAGACTAGAAACCTAGCCAGGAAAGAATATAAAAGATGAGGCCTCAGACCCGACCAACAGAGCTCGTCAGGCCCTCGCGCGAGACGACTCTCCTCTGCCAGAGACGTGAGATCCTGTCCCCAGTGCAGACGTGGCTGACCTGAGGAAGGCTGACCCAAGATCCAGAGGAACAGACGTGGCGAGTCCGGACCTGTATACCCGGAGAGGTACTCCTGCTTCCATTTGGAAGACAGGATGAATATTGCTTGTAATCTTACTGTGTGAATAAATGAGTGTTATACCAAGTCTGAATCAAGAGTGATTATTCCTCCCCCGTAACTGGGGTATGTGCTCGCTACAGTGGCTTATAATAAGTTTTGGTTTTACTCAATCACTGGGCAAGCCTCAGTGAAACATTTCACTATTAGGATAAGAATTTGTACTGTATCAAGCTGATAATAGAAAAAAAAAAAAGAACAACTGGATAATTTAGGAGACTGTCTCAAAAACAACAAAATGGTTGGGAGTACAGCTGAGTGGTACAAAGCTTGTGCCAAGGTGCAGGTTTAATATCCAGTATCCAGGAGAGGCAGGGATTTTGAGGTTTATTCCTAGCCCCCTATACATTCATTCTGTATTGTTTACAACAAATACTGTCAGCCGGTGGTGGCACACATCTTTAATTCCAGCACTTGGGAAGCAGAGGCAGGCAGATCTCTGTCAGTTCGAGGCTAGCCTGGTCTGCAGAGTGAGTTCCAGGACACCTAAAGTCACATGAAGAAACCACCTCAAAAAAGAAGCCAAACCAAAAATCAAAAACCAAAATCAGTCAACTAACCAACCAACCAAAAACCTTGAGGTAAATGCCATTTTCTGGATTTTTCAAGAGGGTATTACTGACATTATGAATAATGAATAGTCCTTGACCAGACATAGCTGAATCGTTCAACAAATATTTATCGGATGCCTGATACATACAGGCACCGTGCCATGCTGAATTCACTGAGGTAAATGACATTTCTTTGATGAGACTAATCACATGTAAAAATGTAACTGTGGTTTCTAGTGGCCTGAAAAAGTCACCCAAGTTTGAGAAGCAAGTCTTGTGAGCTAACAATCTGGTTTTTGGTTTCTCCACATCCTACACGCGAGAGTTTGGTACATCAATCTAACCTATCTCATCTATTGAGATTAATTATAGACGAGAACTGCTTGCTGTACATCTTTAAAAAGACAAGCTTTGTAAAAACGAACTCAAGGGCACAGTGGTGCATGCCTGTAATTACCAATAATGGGAAAACAGGATCTGGAGTTTAAGATCGGCCTTCCCTCCATGAGCCTGTACCACAATAAAATACAACATGAAGTTTATCGGAACGGTACTTGGCAAGATCCCTTAGGCAAGCGTCGGGCTCTTTAAGTCTCCAGAGTTCCCCCTAGCATACACGCGGTCAGCAACCGCTCAATCAGCCTTTCCCAGAAGGAGCCAATTCCGTTTCTGCCGGCAGATCTTCGCGGTGGGTGTGACCGCCCCAACATCCGACCCCCAACAGACTCTGGAGGGCCCGCCCTCCGTCGCGCGCATGCGCCGGAGGCGGGCCCAAGACAGGAAGTGCAGGGGCGTGGCGAAGCCGCTGCAGACAGCCGGCTCTGACGCTGAGGCGGGGAAGTTGGGAGGGGGGAACGGGGGACGGGGGACGGGAACGCGCGCGCGGAAGTGCGCGCTCGTTCGCGCAGCCCGGCTGCGTACAGTAGTGACGGCCGCGCGGGAGCGATCACGTGACCTCAGCGGCTGCCTGTACAGTAAGACCCCAATATGGCAGCGGCGTTAGCAGTGGCAACAGCAGCAGGACCGGCCGCCCCGTAGACCCCCCTCCACCCCGCCACCGCGCGCCTCCGTGGCGTGGCCGCGTCTCCGCTGAGCTGCTTCTCCGGTCCGACTTACCCTTTTCTCCCACCTTTCCCCGCCCCGCGGGAAAAGCCGTGCAGGGCGCAGCAGGCAAGGGAAGGCAGCCGGAGCCGGGGCACGGAAGCCTCCCAGTCAGTTCCGGACCCGACATGAGGGAAAAGGGCCGTAGGAAGAAGGGCAGGACCTGGGCGGAGGCCGCCAAGCCGGTAAGGAGGGGGGCGCGGAGGGGCAGGCCGGCAGGAGTCGGTTTCCTCGCCGGCTGCCGGTCTCCGGGGAAGGGAGGTCACTTGGCCCCGCGACCGGCCTGAGGGGCTCGAAAGCGCGCGCAGAGGGCGGCGCTTAGGGTCGCGTTGGCGAGCCCCGAGGAGAGCGGGGCGCCGGCGCGAGGGGGTTGGTGGCGCGGCCGGCTGCCGGTTCTCCCGGGGGCTGCGACCGGACCCCTCGGTGTTCCCAGGTTGCCCTGTCGGGGTCGTGTCGCCGTCGCCCCCGCACTGCTAGCCCTTGTCTCGGCACCGTGTGTTGTGCTTGCCCAGTAAGCGGTTCTTCTCCCTTGTGCGCCTTGGAGAGCCCCGATTGGATGCAGACAGGAGGCGGCTTGTGCGTGCATCCAGCCCCGGAAAGGAGAGGGGAGCGCTGGAGCTCGGCGGCGTTCCCCCGCCGAGGCGGTGGTGCCACCAGACCCGGGGGCCCTGCTTATCTGGCTCTGGGAGCCAAGGGCAGGTCACGAGGCTTTTGTGTTTGCTGTCCGAGCTGAAAGTGCAGGAGGTGTTTAGAAACGAAGTAACAGGTGGGACTTGGAGAATTTTTTTTTTCTGTTTCCGTAGAGACCTACTCTGAATAAGGCAGCAATGCATGGTGGGACGTGTAGTTTACCGGGCCTCCACTTTTCTTTAGCCAAAGTGAAGGTGGACCGACGAAATTGTGTTTAGTGGGCACACACCCCCCGCCCCCGCCCACAATTTTGTTATACGGAATTTAGAAGTCATTTCAGAATGAGTGTTAGTGAGGTCTTGTTTTGAAAAAAAAAAAAAAGTTTAAAAACGTGTATTTACGAAGAAACGCTACTTTAAGGAGAAATTGAAATTCCATCATTGCAAGTGTAACAGAAAAGTAACAGGACATTAAACAGAAAAATAACAGGACATTAAACATTAGTAGCATTTCAACCTCTTTTATAAATGAACAACATGTTGGGTCTTAGTAAGTGAACCCTTACAGGTTATAAAGTGTATTTTCTCCTTGAAAAAAGTGTGTGTGGGCGCTGGAGAGATGGCTCAGAGGTTAAGAGCACTGCCTGCTCTTCCAGAGGTCCTGAGTTCAATTTCCAGCAACCACATGGTGGCTCACAACCATCTGTAATGAGATCTGGTGCCCTCTTCTGACATGCAGGCAGAACACTGTATACATTAAAAAAAAAAAAAGTGTGTGTGTGTGTGTGTGTCTGTCTGTCTGTCTGTCTTAGGGGCGGGGCATGTGCAGATGGCCATGGAGCACATGCAGAAGTGAGAGTTGATGCAGGTTCTCAGCTGACATAGGAACATGAAGATATATGTGCACCAGTTGACATAGGAACATGAAGATGTATGTGCACTGTGAGAGACAGAAGATCACTGGAGTAACAACTAAGTCCTCTTATCACACCTCCTGAGTCCTTTCCCCACAGACAACTGTCATTTTCAAATTATGATATACCTCTCCAGAAAGACTGTGCAGGTCCAGATACACACACAACTTTATCTTAATGTATATACACATATCTACATAAACGAAATATGTGTAAGTATGTATATTCCCAAATAAGATTTAACTACATCATGCTAGGAGCCCAATTTAGTTTGTTTTCTGCAGGAACAGCTATAATAGTAATTCATTATATGGATGTAGAATGGTTTTCTCGACTCATCTTCTTCATGCTATATTTCAGTCAATATGACTTCATTTATCTGACAAGGAACAGAGAACAAGAACTTCAAAGGATCCCATGATAGTGGACATGGTGGCACACACCTATAAACCCAGTGCTCAGGGCAAGACAGTGCTCAAGTAGTGACTTCAAAGCCAGAAAGGACTATGTAGTGGGGTCCTATCTTAAAACAAACAAACAAAAACACAGTGAATTTTGCCTACTATTCCTATATTAGGGTAAAGGGAAGGACAGAACTCTTGCTCCTCTCATAGTTCAGGTCTTGATTTCAGCCTTATAATGTGAATACTTAAGTCATTCTTATGCATGACTATATGACTATGTAACTATGACATGTAAGAGCATGTGTCTAGTTACAGTAAAGGCCCACAGCAGTGCAGTAAGTGGGGTCAAAGATCTGATTGCTTACAATGCATGGTGGAGTTAATTTGAAGTTAATGAAAAGCAGCAGCAGCATTTTCATTGGAAGCCCTCCCAATTATCGCACACAAAGTGTACAATAGTGAATTACAGACAGTCAAATGTCTGCCATAAACCAACTCTGTCCACCTGACAGTCCCACATCTAGAAGAGTCTTGTTTCTGTTAAAACTTGGGGTTGAGAGGAGGTGGTAGACAATCACCATGTATTCAAATTTGTATTACTGCTGGGCCTTACTGCTCTGGATTTTAAGCAATGCTTGTAAATGCTAGCCAGTTTCAACTAGCACCCAGCAGAAGGGAAAACTTGCTATTTTGAAGAGAAAATAAACTGGCTGAGTTAAATATAAAAAGTGACTTGCACTGTCCAGGTAACTTCTCAAAGGTAAGTTTTGACTGGGTTTGTGGCTGACAAGTGTTGACATTAACCACAACACAGAATGCAATGTGCTGGAGATGGGAAGTGAGTGTGGAAGAGACTCAAAGCACACTTTACTCTGCTGGAGAGAGAGTTTACTCTTCTGCTTTCCCAGAAGAGGAAGAAGGTCATCAAGGCTTGAAGGAATAAGCAGTGCGAGACCTTAAGCTAGGAAAATGCACTGTGTAAGCGTACACATGTGATGCTGGATGAGGCCAAGAGCAAGACGGGAAACAGGCTGGAGAGATGGGTTAGAGGGTTTGGGGTTTTGTTATTGTTGTTGTTGTTGTTTTAAGATTTATTTATTGCGTATACAGTGTTCTGTCTGCATGTATGTCTTCAAACCAGTAGAGGGCACCAGGTCTTATTAGAGATGGTTGTGAGCCACCATGTGCTGGGGATTGAACTCAGGACCTCTGGAAGAGTACCCAGTGCTCTTAACCTCTGAGCCATCTCTCCAGCCCGTGGGTTAGAGTTTTATACAATGTCAAACCAGGTGTGGCAGCTCACGCCTCTAGCTCCAGCACTAAGGAGGCTGAGACAGAAGGGATAGTTCAAGGTTAGCTTGGACTACAGAGCAAGCTCTAGTCCAACCTGGGATATAGTAAAACAATGACTTCATTGAGTATAGCAAAAACAAACCAACCAAACAAACTGAAAACCCCAGGAAATCCCTTTCCAGCCACATAACTTACTTATCAAGTTTATAATGCAATGGTTTTTAGGATAGTCAGTGTTACATAATCATCACCAGCCATACTTAGAATATTTTAATCACTATAAAAAGAAACTCTTCACCCATCAGCAACCACTCCCCATTTTGCCTTCCACATAGCCCTAAGCAACCGAGCTACTTTATGTCTGTGGATTTGCCTATTCTAAATATTTCACAAAAGTGAGCTCAAATGGCAAGAATTCTTTTACTGATTTCTTTCACTTAGAATACTCTTTTCAAGGTTCATCTACAGTGTAGCATGTATCAATACTTCATTCAGGTCAGTGGATCATACTCCCTTGTATGATAACTGCAGATGTTATTTCTCCATCCAATAGTTCATGAGCATCTGGGTCGTTTCTGCCTTTTGGTTATTAAAAATAATGCTGCTAGGAACATTTGTGTGCAAATCTCTGTGTGAATACATGTTCTCATCTCTCTTGGGAATATACCTAGAAGGAAACAGCTGGGTCACCTGCTATTTGAGGAACTGACAGTTTCCCAAAGCAGCTAAAACATCTGATTTTTCCACAAGTCATATGTGAAGGTTCCAATTTTTCTACATCTTCCTAATGATCTGTGGACTGCAATCATCTTGGGCAGTGTGGAATACCTCAATGCAGCAGACCTATGGTTAAGATGACATTAAAGTCATGCTATAGAAACCACTGAAGGATGGTAACCACAGGAACAATGTGATCAGAGCCACTGGAGAAAAGACACATGCTCTCCACATTGTTTCATTATTCCAGCAATTTGTAACCAACTTCTGTTTATTAAAATAAAAAGTGCAGACATCCAAAAGGTTGTTTTCAGTTTTGATTGTCTGGTGTAGCCATGAATGTTTGTGATCCTATATACAATAAACATAAAAAAATGGAACCAAGACCTATAAAACTATAAAAATTCTGTAGTCTGATTTTAAGAAAATGTATTTATCAAAATAACTTATGTGATGTCTTTAAAGTCAAAGACTACAATTAGAATAAATCTCCTCCCCTATCTGATTTCTACATCCTATAGAGATGTTTCCAATTACATATATATTCATGTCTCATATTTCAAGATTTCCTTACTTTCTGCATTCTATTGTAGAAGTCATAGCTCCTTTTATCCACAGCTTTCCGTATGAACACAGGCCTGTCTCCCTCTGTCATTTCTTCAATACTAACCCTGCCCCCTTCAGCTGAATGGACAACAGTGTTTTTATCCTAACTCTGAAACACCAACCACAGAGCAAAGCACAATCACATGTCTTTTCTCTCCATAAAGACACTTTCAGTTTCCCCAGGCTGCTGGGAGAACTGTCTCTTCCCCTCTTCCCACCTGTTTATCTGCCTGTCACTAACTCTCCTCTAAATGTTTAAAAAGGAAACTCCCTCAACAGTGCTCTAGACACGTGCTTCCTCTTTCTCCTCCCCTCTCTTTGTGAGGTGCCTGGCTCACTCCAACCTGGTTGCTCTCAGCCTGCTGACAGCTGCTGTCCTCTGAGGATCCTGCACTGTCATCTTTGAATTTCTTTGTCTCTGGTCTGCTGCTTCGGGAATCTACTGCCTGGGTTCGGAGTCACATCTTGACCCATTCTCTCTCTCCTCCATCCCCCATCACTTTTCCTTCCCCTCTCAAAAACAGCTTTGAGGACATGCTTTAAATCTGAAAATGACTTTATTATGATTGCAACAAATATTTTGCCTTGGATTTTTGGAAGGTATCGTTCCCTTGGGTCCTGGTTCCCACCCAGAGGTTCAGTACCATTCTAGCCCTCCATTTCTACAAATACTATGCACACACGTACATACACACACAAATAAATTAATTAATTCAGAAAATATATGTAACTATACCTCCCAACTATATCAGTTTACTTAATGTATCATGAGCCATATTCATCCACATTTTGTGTTAATTCTTAGCCAGATTTCCAATAACCATCTTTCACTACTTCACAATAACTGACAAGAAACAAATTTCAAGTCTTTTCCTGGGAAAAGAATATTATTTGATGTAATATTTATGTGGTTTGGAACCATTTCAGTGTGAAACCGTGCTACCATTTTTATTAAGTTCCTAGCTTCTTCTTTTTTTTTTTTTGTCATTAATGAAGTCTCCAAGCATTATGTCTCTAACTCCATCCTTTCCCATATTGCCTATTTTGCAAAGTACAGTGAGTTGTAGAACACGTAGGTCAAGTGACAGAAGAACTATCTATAAAACCAGATGACAATGTGTCCTCTAAATATATAACTAGACACAAAATTTAAAGCCGGCTAAATCACCAGTCTAAACAAACCATTAAAGTTTCAGCCGGTTTCCATATTTAAAATTTTCAAACTAAAATAAGCTAATTCCATTGGAGGTACTACGCTAACAATGTGTGTGTGGAGGGGGGATATTCAGTTGTTATGCTTTTATTCCTAGAAACTTTATGAGTAGACAGCAGTTTGGGGCGGGGGGGGGGTGAAATAAAACACAGCATGACCAAATATAAAATAACCAATAGTCATTCCCAAAGAAAAATGTAACTTACGGAGAAAGGGCACCCAGAGCCGTCCTCCGCTCTCCTTGAGCCGTGGATTTCCGAAGCACACAAACAACCCAAGCTCACTTCAGTCTGTACGCCCCTCCAGCCCTCAGAAGTCTTTCCTGCTGCTGGTCTCATCAAATGTTCTATTTCTGACCCAATCCACCACAGAGCGGTCTCCTATCAGCCCGGTCTTTGTCACGCCCCACTCCTACAGCACTGACTGTGGGATTTGTACACTGGAGTCACTGGTCTGCTCTTTTCATTCTCAGCCCTTGAACACATGGCTCCTCCGTGTGATCTGAACATTCTGGAATCCACACAGAGCTAGTACAATGTGGAACACAGAGTCAATGCTCAAAAAGTTTGGCTGCTGGGTTATAAACAGGTCAAAACCATGAGAACTAACTCACCGATTTTCTTAGTTAAAAATTAACCATTTTCAGTATGTATTATCTCAATGGCTTTAAGGAAGCTAAAACTTTAACTTAGCTATGCTGAAAATATATGTATGGTAGCTACAGAAATGAAATCTGGCAAAGCTTGCACTTTCAGATCTTACCATAAAAAGACTAAACAAGAGATGGTTAGACAAAGTATTTCTAGATTATGAACTTCATTTCTACATTATGAAATGCACAGAAGCAATTATACTTGTAGTACTGTCTCTTGTTAATGTGAAGGCAGGGGCTGTAGTTCTCTGTCTGGAGTTCTCTCAAACCGTCTACCTCCAGCCTCTAATCTCCAAGAGCACTGGCCCCTTTTGACATCTGGGAGAGCTAGACAATGCCTCAAAACACTCACAGGATGAGTACATCAACATGAATAGAAAATACTTCTTTAGTTCTTTTAAATTACTAATGTCACTAAAATACAAATTTTAAACTTACCCATTTCTACTGAAAACTCTTAGCCATGCTTTGAGGTTTGGTCCTAACAAACATAAGCAAGGTACTGTAGTAAAAGTAGACAAAATAACTGCAAATAAAAATGTTTCCAACACCAACCTAGGATAAAAAAAGAAAAACTGTTAACTTTTCAGAAGTATTAGAGGTACATTTATTCATAAGCACGTATCATCTTTGTAAGAGCATTCACTATTCAAATATCTTCTTATACTTTACTCTGAAAAACTCCTGAGACCCACTAAATAAGACTAAATTATTCTACTAGCTTTAAAAACATCCTAGAAAATTACATGGTTTTAATCATAAATTTTAAAAATGTTAAAAATCTGAAGATCCATACTGAGGCCTTCTTGCAAAACAAAACAACCAAAAGGCTCAGTTTTGGATAATTAGCTTTCTTCCTTAACAATCTCCAAAACTCTTAAAGTTGAACTGCTTTTTATTTAACCACATGAAGAGACTAAACTAAAGATCACCAAGTTTTACCTCAAGAGTTTATGACTGAGGTCTAACAAATTTCATTCTGATAAAACCTTGAGCTATGGAACACAATGTCTATTCATTGATTCTCTTGAGATGGATTAGACAAAACCATTTTCCATGACTTTCCTGCCCTGCCTAAAATAGAATAATCTGTTTATTGCATGTATACAACTGTGTGTGTGTACCTGCAACTGCAGCTTTATGTGTGCGTGTGTATGTATAATCACTCATTTAACTATGATCACTTAATCATGGCTAAAATAAAACGTCTCATTTAACAAATATTTGTGAATTTAGTTTCCACTAATTTGAAATTCGTCCAGTTTTAAAGACTGTTAAATTTTAATATAAACATTGATATTTGATAAAGGAATCTATGCCCCTTAAGAAAATAAACTCAGCTATTCTAGAATCATATTTGAGTCACTGAAATACTATATATAACCAATTTACACTTATCACAATAGTAAGTTGCCTGCATTTATCAAGGCATGTCCAGCTTGTGGCCCTCATCCAAGGATAGCTATGAATGCATCCCAAATGATAAACTGGCCGGGCGGTGGTGGCGCACGCCTTTAATCCCAGCACTCGGGAGGCAGAGGCAGGCGGATCTCTGTGAGTTCGAGGCCAGCCTGGGCTACCAAGTGAGTTCCAGGAAAGGCGCAAAGCTACACAGAGAAACCCTGTCTTGAAAAACCAAAAAAAAAAAAAAAAAAAAAAAAAAAAAAAAAAAAAAATGATAAACTGACTTACAACATTGTCATATTTTGGTAATGTGATCACAAGGTTCTTAAACACAGCTTTGTAGATGACCACATCGTGTTGTACTGTCAAAAGGTTAGACACCTAGAGGTTTTTCACAGCCATATATTTATTACTATTATATTTATATATATATATATATATATATATATATATATATTAACAGTGTTTATGATGTATAGTTGGGTATCAGAAAGCTAAATAACAGAAATATGTGAAGAATTAAGTTGTCTCAATGGGTTGTTGGATATTTTTTTTTGTCTCAATATTTTTAACATAACAGTACTAAAAACAGGACAATAATAGTGTTTTCTACCTTGATCATTAATCAAACCCACTGTGGTTCCACTACAGTTGATAAGAGCTAGCATATCATTTAGTAAGTTAATATATGGAAGCACAAAGTTAAAGACTCAGAACTCACTCTATTAGTGGTGCTCCGTAGAGAACAAAAATGATATGAAGGAACACACAAGACATTAGAAAGTACATACAGCACTTCAAAACTCTGGTCACCTAAAAGAGAAACGAATAAACTGAAGACTCAAGAAGATACTGAAGAAGCCATAAATTCTGCCATTTTACACCCAAATAGAATTCATTCCCAAAATGTCTGGGACAGCTGAACCTTCTTTGTTGGGTAACTTCAAATCAGATCACATGTCTCATCACATACACAACCCTCAAAACAGACTGCACAAAACTTAAAGTCAGGGCCAACGAGATGGTTCAGCAGGTGAAGGCACTTGCCTCCACGCCTGACGACCCGAGTCCAATCACTGGAACCCACACAATGGAAGTAGAGAACTACTCCCTGGTCTCACTATGACAGCTGTGCTGCAGGCCCACATGCACACACACTAAAGAAATAGTAAATAAATAAACGTAATAATTTTTAATTTAAAAGACAAATATCACACAAATATACTCTACCACATACCAGCGTAAGAGCCAAAATTGATTTCTGTTTATGTGGTATGATTGCAATATTATTAATACTTAAGAAATACTGACAATAGAGTGTTGGGATAAAAAAAACACAGTGACCTTATTATATAAAGACACATGAATTATGTACAGAAAATAATGACTACTATACTTTTCTTTCATTTTTAAACAAAACTGGGGAAATTACATCAAAAAGCAAAATACTAAATAATTCCCAAAATCATATTCATATTGCTGTATAAACAATATTAAAAAAAAAAAAAAAAGACCTGAACATCTACAAACAGGTCCATGCCTGGAACACACTTGATCTGAAACTCAAGAAGATATAATAGTAAAACACATATTAATGTTTTAAAATTTAAGTCAGTTAAGGTGTTTAAAACAATTTAATAGCCGGGCGGTGGTGGCGCACGCCTTTAATCCCAGCACTCGGGAGGCAGAGGCAGGCGGATCTCTGTGAGTTCGAGGCCAGCCTGGTCTCCAAAGCGAGTCCCAGGAAAGGCGCAAAGCTACACAGAGAAACCCTGTCTCGAAAAACCAAAAAAAAAAAAAAAAAAAAAAACAATTTAATAGGGCGTTATATATAATATTGAATGTTCAGTGAGGATTTTAATTTAATATAATTGTCAAGTGTCATAAACAGTGACTATTCCTGAAGAAAAATTGATTCCAATATCTGAAATCTTAACTGTCTAGTCAAGGAAGGGCACATGTGAAATAACAGTTACAGAGACTTAATTTGCAATTTCTGGACAACTCACTTATTTAAGGAGTGAAAATATACAGGCTGGGTTTCAACCCCTGGCTGAGGGAGCTATTGACAGCTGATGGCCGCTAAGGCAAAGAAAGTCAGTTTTCTTTAGGAGTGTGGTCCCTGGTAGGTTGAGCACGTTCTAGTGGATGGCCCCACATCCATGCAGATATGGGACTCTAGAGGTTATAACAAGAACAACAACAGCAAAAGGGCTATGAAGTTGGGCAGGGATTAGGAATAGAGTAGGGGATGAATATGATCAAAACACATTGTGTGCAGGTATGAAGGTATCAAAAAATAAACATATATATTTTTAAAATATACATGGGCTGAGGGATAACTCAGTCAAAGCAACAAGCACCTGAGTTGATTCCTCGAACTCACAGTAAAATGCTAAGTATGGGGCATGCTTGTCACCCAGCACTAGGGAGAGATGGAGGGATGTCTGGGGCTCATTGGCCAGCCAGTCTAGCCTAATTGGTGAGCTGCAGGACAATGAATGACCCTGTCCACAGCAGGTGGACAGTGTTTCTAAAGATGAGACTTTAAGTCAGCCTCCAGCTTTCTCATGCATTTGCACAGTGTAACCCACCCACCCCTACCCACATAAAAAAGTACAAAAATAAACAAAAACTGCAGTGTCTTATAAGTTATCTTCAGTGATGATATAAAACAATGATTATATGGACTCATAATATTTATACCGTGATACATTGAAGGACCCATAATTCCACAGTTAATGAACAACAAAGATCTATCAAACATTGTAGGTAACAGGCTACTGCCTTTGGGGGGTGGGAGAGGGGCTTGGTTCCCTTTATATGCTGTAAATAACTCAATAAGGATATAACAATACTTCATTCTTTGTTTTGTTCTATCAGGACAAGGCTTCTCTATGTAGCTTTGGCTATCCTGGAACTAGCTCCGTAGATCAGGCTGGTCTTGAACTCACAGAGATCCGTTTGCCTCTGACTCCTGAGTGCTGGGATTAAAAGCATGAGCCAACCACCACCCATCACGATGCTTTATTCTTACACTATTACTTCCATCTAAAAACTGGTTATTAATGAGTCAACCTTACCTTATGTGATAATGAACTTCTTCTAGACGGTACATTTGGTTTCACTACTAAATATAACAGGAGATTGACAGCAGTCACAAGAGCAGAGCAAGTGCACAACCAGGTCAAGTGAGTTTCCAGTATTGAGAAGTTATCCAGGAAGAAGGATGGAATAAAAAAGCTCAGGAAAATTGAAAATAAGCACAAAAGATTGGTATACAGAAGTCTCTTGATGTCAGTATCTTTCATGGTGTTTTCTTGGGTAGCTATCTAGTAGAAAACAAATTAAGAAAAACATGTAATAATGATTTTCCCCATGTCCCAAACACTTCAATACTCTATAAGTTAACCATGTACTAATAATTTTCTATGGGCAATATATTTGTCTCAAAGTGCAGAAAATGTGTAGATAGATTCAATATCCTGTTACTTTAGATTTTTCTAATATGATACAAACATCTTTTAGAGCCTTAAAAAAAATTCAGTAGAATTTTAAATATTCATGACTGATCTCTGCAAAGAGGACATGTATTAGAGACAATTAAGCAACTAATTTTACTTTTGGGGGGGCCAAAATCAGGAAGATGAAATCACTCTAGTTTCCAAATGCCAAGCAAGTATACACTTGGATATGCAATATAATTAGATGGTCATTGTGTTACACTAAGGGCTCCCCAAAGCCCTTGGAAAAACAAAATAACAGTCACAGACTCTAAATTCTACTCAAAAGCAGAACATGAGTGGGAGGAGAAACAAACGTTTACGGTCTCTAAATGCGTATATTTGACCTAACTGGCAGTTTATCTGTTATATTGGCTAAAGTTAAGAAAGAACTTAAAGTAATACATGTTATATTGTGGTTTAAAAAAAAAAAAATCTAGCCCAAACAGAAACATCCATACAGCAGGGAAGTGAAACTGGCCTGAAAGTGAAAGTGCAAGTTTGGGCATTGTTCTATCAGCCCTCATCAAATTCACACACTCGTTTTCAAAGGCAAATATGATACTGATTAAGCAAGCTGGATGAACAAGTTCTCAGACACGGCCAAGGTTACACACACTAAAGCCATTGCAAGCATAGCCCCTTCAACATGAAGATACCCTTCAGGGGTCCGGAGAAGAACGAACAGTAAGAAAAGACTTGGGGAAAGTTTCTCAGATTCTTCCCTCCAGGGCCGGGGTCAGGCGGGTAGTCGGGGATCAGGAACCCATCCTCTTAGTAGAGAGCGTTTCTGGGCCATCTGCAAATCCTGATCAAACCTAGCGAGCGGTACCTAAACGCCAAGGCTCGTTGGATGGAGCCCTTGCTCAGACACTGGCAGGTCCTGAGGTCCCCCAGCACTCCAGACCTGTGAAGCCACCAACCGGAGTCGCGATCCGCGATCCGACGTGAGCCAGGTCGGAAGGCGCGGCTGCTTCCGAGCCCTCCTAAGCAGCCTTTGCCCAGGTGCAGCTCAACCCCACCCAGGGTGGCTGGAGATTCTGCCCGAACCTCGGGCGGCGGGAGTGTGGGCAACTGAGGGGCGTGATCAGAGAGATGGAGCTGCCCGCACCCCCGGGTGACCCGACAGACAGGGACAGAGCGTCGGTCCCGCGGACGGATGCCGGGATCGCAGAGGGTCCATCCTGCAGGACATCCTCTGCTCCGCAGGAAGCGTGGCGCTCCGCAGGCCACCGCGGCAGTCGGCAGAGGAGCCTGCGCCCGCCCCCGGCGAGCGTGCGGGGCATGCCGCCGGCTTACCTAACTCTCCCGCCCGCCGACGGAAAGGGGACACCACCGCCTCCCACCCTCCTCAGGTGCGGCAGGCTGCCATGGCCCTGGCGCAGGCGCAGACCCAGGAGGTGGGGACTCCCACGTCCACAGCCAATCGTTGAAGAGAGGGGGCGGGTCAATGAAATAAGCCCCGCCCACATGCTCTCGTTCGTCCCTCCCGCGGCTTTCCAGGTTCAGGATAGGCGGGAGCGGGATGCCGAGAGAGCGGAAGCGAGTTGACGTAACCGGAAGGGGAAGTCTCCGGCTGTGTTGTTGATGTTATCTGGCGGCCGCTCCTGATTTGGAGGTTGAGGGGACAGTCGGTGGAAGGATGGTGTGCGAAAAATGTAAGTTAAGGGGCTGCGTCTGCGGGAGGAGGAGGCGGGAGGAGCCTGACGGAATTCTCGTGGGATCTCGGCCTTGGCTTTTTCTCCTCCGGGTCTGTGGATGTAAGCTTTGCCTTCCTGCGGTGTCCCGCCGTCATCCTTGCCCGTCCCAGGGACTGTGCAGTCCTATGCTTTGTGTTCAGAACGGTCTCTGTTTGTTTCTCCTGCCCTCCTCCCGCCCTTCGTCCTGGATCTTTTCAGTTACAACTTTTTTTGGTTTTTCGAGACTGGGTTTCTCTGTGTAGCTTTGCGCCTTTCCTAGATCTCGCTCTGTAGCCCAGGCTGGCTTCGAACTCACAGAGATCGGCCTGCCTCTGCCTCCCGAGTGCTGGGATTAAAGGCGTGCGCCACCTCTGCCCGGCTCAGTTACAACTTCTTGACTGGCTCCAAGAGTCATTTAAAATGGATCTTCAAAATCTTCCCGGTAGCATCGAGAGTTGCTACCCGTGTAGCAAGTATAAATTCCAGGCTCTCAGTTCATTTCTAAGATTACAAACAACGAATCCTTTCTCGTACTGTTCCTATGTCCGGTGTAGAATTTGAATCTTGACTTTTTGGCCGTTCCTTACAAACCACATGCAACATTTAATACAGGTTAAGTTTAACTGGATATTTTGTACCGTCCCGTCCATTCTTTTCATTGATACCCACAGCACTGGGTAAGGGGAACGAGAAAGTCTCATCATCGCCACAGATATCTGTGTAGTCACCCCTGGAAGCTCTTTTTGATCCTTTTAGTTACCATTCAATAATTCTAATGAAATCCTTGAGATTTGTTGAAAATATTTGATTTTTTTTAACTGCAAAAACTGTTGATTTGTTTAAAAACAACTTTCTTATCTCGATCTCTTTTCCTCGGGCTAAACATAAGAACTCAACTCTTTGTATCCCAATTATTATCTAATATACATGATCCATTTTGTTTATATCCCTTCAGTACATAATACTCTAGGACACAGACACCCCCAAGTAGCTGAAATTACAGGCCTGTGCCATCAGGCCCAGCCTCCATCCTTAAGCAGTTATTTTTATTCTTTTTGAAAGTAGGGGAGATGTTTGATTAAATGTGGCTTAAATGTATGTATATTTTGTGCCTTCATGCTGTGTAATTCTTACATGTACAACTTGGGTCTTCTTTGTCGTTTTTGTCAGTTCTGTACATTTGCTAATAGATGACAAAAATTCTGTCTACTTTCACTTGTTTTAATTCTCTCTATATTGTAAGTGCTTTGTCCCAGATGACACTGGGGATAGTAGGAAACTGAACTAATATCTCCAAGGAACATAAAACCCAATTTCAGAGTCCAAGACCCATAGCGGCATCACCGTAAAATGCACATGCTTTGGACTTGAATGTGTGCCATCCAAGGTCATTTCCTCCTCCTCCTCCTCCTCCTCCTCCTCCTCCTCCTCCTCCTCCTCCTCCTCCTCCTCCTCCTCCTCCTCCTCCTCCTATTTACTTCTCTGCTCTTCCGGAAAAAAGCTGATGTTTTATTGTTTTTAACTTCCTAGTCTGTCTGCTCATCAAACTCACCCTGTAAGTAAACTGAAATCATACTCCTACAAAAGCCATAATGTCAGGCAGCCACCACAGTTCTGTCTTTCCCTGTGTCCTAAATTGTTTCAAAAAGTTGTTTGTCTCCAGATTTTTAGAGTTACTTCTTATAACTTTAGAAATACAAACTGACTTTCCATACTACTAAAGAACTTTTAAACTTTCACCAGTAGTCTTCCATTTACTCAGTTCCAAGGAGTTTTTTTGGTATTGTTTTATTTTATTGTTTTTGGTTTTTGTTTGTTTGTTTGTTTCTCTGGCTGCATTAAATCTTTGGAGAATGTTTGGCCTCGGCTAGCACGTCCATACCATTGAGTATCAAATTCACTTCTCCAGCCTGACTTTTTTCCTACTTAAACAGTAAGGTAACTGTGGCTGTTTTGGATGTCTGAGACCCTCTACAGATAAGGCCCTGGCTTATCCTTCCAACTTCATTTTCACTAGCATTTACCCTTTTCACACTTGAGTTAGCCAGAGTATGTATACCCTGAACTTATATGCAGATGTATACCCTGAACTTCCCATGCCTTTCCTCAGGATGTGCCCTTTATCTTCGCGGTTTGACTTTATCTTCTTCATATTTGCATTGCCAGATGTTTAAACTGTCTCAATTAGCTCATATATATAAAATATAAAAAAATATTTTATTTTATTTTATTTTCCAGCTTATATTTTTACTGAAGGGCTCTTCACTTTTTTTTAAAATCTCTGATCACTTTGAAAATCTGATGAACCCTATAGACTCTTAACAAGGAAAAAAATAGAACACACTTATTCGGTTTGTGTACTGTTCTGTCCAGTTCATTTATTTCCTATGATCTGCCTACAAGCTCTTAAGAAACTAATGAACTTGGGTATAAGCCCGCTGAAATCTAGATTCATGGTTTTATTTCCATCGGTACCTTGTACAGGGTTTTGTACATACTAGGTGATTATGAAATGTTGAAGGATGAGGAAGTTTGTCAAATTGTTTAAATTATAATTTTTTAATTGTTTAAAAAATAATTGTTGGGCTGGAGAGATGGTTCAGAGGTTAAGAGCAGTGGCTGTTCTTCCAGAGGTCCTGAGATCAATTCCCAGCAACCACATGGTGGCTCACAACCATCTGTAATGAAATCTGGTCTGAAGGTACACATGCAGGTAGAACACTGTATACATAATAAATAAATAAATCTTTAAAAAAATAAATAAATAATTGTTTAAAGTATAAACAGTGAGAGCATCTTATTATTGGATAAATCTTCTTCAGACTCAGTTATCCATTGTCCACAGTTACTGTCTTAAGTCTTCATTCACTGGTTTCCACCTCAGAATTTGTAGGTTCCTACTGTAATCTGACTTGATAGCATTATCAACCTCAGGCATGATAGAGTATATTTATTATTTTAAAGTTAGAAAAGAAATGGGCTCATTATTTTATTTCCACATAGTATGTTTATTAGATGATAATTCTTCTTCCCTTTTGCTGTCTTGCTTTAACAGGTGAAAAGAAACTCGGCAGGGTTATCACTCCAGATACATGGAGGATGGCGCACGGAATACCACAAGTATTGTTTCTTACTAGGAAATAGAAGCTGGATCGGATACTTGTAGGCTTTGCTTTAGTGTTTCACTGTTAGCAAAGTGAAATAGGAAATAAATGCTCATTTATTATCTCATCTATTAAACACTAAAGAGTTCTGGATTTCCCCCTGTGATTTTATATCTCCTTTTTCATCATCTGAGTTATGTGTACGGATTCCTAATATAGTCAAGAAGTAGTAAAATTATGAAATCATTTCAGTATGTGTCTATTTGATTCAGCTTAATAAGGGCTGTATTTAAATTTCCTTCCCACATCTAAGTTTTATGTTCTTGAACAAACTTAAACTATTTTCACTTACATATAGCAGGCCAGGCATGGTGATACACACCTTTAATGCCAGCACTTGGGAGACAGCAGCAGGCAGATATCTCGAGTTCGAGGCCAGCCTGGTCTACAACTTGAGTTCCAGGACAGCCAGGACTACACAGAGAAACCCTGTCTCTGAAAAACAAACAAACAAAAAACATATACAGCAAAGGATATCTTCAAGGGTGGGGGAACCCAGTGTTTTTCTGTACTCAGTCTATGCTATGAAAGCAGAACGATGTTACAGAGACAAAGAAACTGTAGGTCATTGCCAAAGCACTACTTTGAGACTTAGTAATAAATCCAGTGTATTTTATACAAGTGTTTGTTAAGAACTGGGCTGTTATATGAGGATTTTAAAAAATCACATAAAGGGCAATTTATTGGTCGAAGGTCAGCGTGAACTTTTAAACTACTTCATGAGCATTAAGCACATTGTATGTTACATGCACAGAAGTAAATTTTTATGTATGCACTTTTTTCAATATACAGAAAGTGGTGGGAGGAAGCTGAATGAAAACAAAGCTTTGACTTCAAAGAAAGCAAGGTAGGTGAGAACATCTTTAGAGTTCATGAAGTTGACTTTAAATAGCAAGCCTGCTGGAGTGAATGTGCCGGATCCCGGTGTGTCGAGTTAGGCAGTGGTGGTGTACAGAGGTAACCTGTTTCCTGTAAGCTGTTCCTCCACCCTGTGCCAATATAGGAAGAGGATAGTGCCACTTTCTATTTATTTATTTATTTTTTGGTTTTTCGAGACAGGGTTTCTCTGTGTAGCTTTGCGCCTTTTCCTGGAACTCACTTGG